AATCTCTTTTACTTTTTAGAGCATATCACGAATCGAAGTTAGCACATGCAATGGCAGTCTTTGAGATGCATGCCCGCGGTCCATTGTTTGAGGAATTCAGTGAGAAATTACAGGCTGAATGTGACAAACATTGGCGAGCTGGTCGACAAATGTGCGAAGTGTTATCACTTACCGGTCATCCTTGTACGAATCCCGTTCATAGAGGTGGTAGCGAAGGTGCGGGAGGCGGAGAGCAAACCGAGCCCAGAGAGGACGACAGGTATACTTTCTTATATGTAATAAATTATTACTTATTTATATGTGTGCATTATATCTACAATATCAATTCCCTTTATTTTCATCCATAGTGAATTACCTGTTAGAGAGCATTGTAGTGGCGTCAGATACGTGTGCGCTTGCAATTGTGGCAGAGTTCAAGGCTCGAGAGAAGATCCGTTCAGTCTGAGACAAGCGAATCATGACTATTTTCAAATGTTAGCGAAACAATGTGGTTGCGCACAACTAGAAAGCATACAGTTCCCCGTGTTTCAACCCAGTACACATAATTACAGGTATAGCTTTCGCATTGTAAGAGATTTCTTCCTGGTAGTACTAATCTACTTTCTTGTTTTTCTTCATCTACAGAGCAGCGCAGTTATTTTCAGCAACAAAACGTTATGATTCCTTCAGTCGCAACGGATCTTCTACACCACAAGATACGCAAGCTTGCAGTTTAGGAGCCGATACTTTAAATGGCGAGTAATAGCGTCGATAAAATAAATATTCTTTTATCGAATATATAAACATCTAAACATATTGCAGATGAAAATACAGATTATGGTAGCGGTGGTCAATCGTCAGCAACAAGCGACCCAATAGAAGGAGATATTCCGAGATTAAGCAGCAAAACAAGTCTGACGCCAAGTGATTCGCACAAAGTTGTTATAGAAGTCGTTGACAGCGACGCAGAAAACTCTAAAGGTATTTCATCTCACTACAGAAGTATCTTAAGTAAAACACAAGTCATCGTGACATCAAAATGACATCAAAATGGTTTCAAAAATAATTACTAAAAGTCATTTTGTAATTAATTATGATTTATTTTAACGTCATTCATCAAACGTTACTTTGTGACCTCTCATTCTGCTTAATATGAGTTCAAGTATTTAATTAGAAATTTATGCTGATATATGCATTTTACAGACAAATCTTTGGTCAGACAGCCATCGACGACAGAATATCTACCTGGAATGTTACACACTGAATCACCAGCCGGTTTGCTGCCGCAATTCTCTAGTTGGTCTTTGGTATGCCTTGGACCGAGTAGTCTTTATTCTCACAATTTAGGACTGCAACATCAGATCGGAGTATTCCCTACCTCCGCGTTTTTACTACCATGGGACGTGACTGTTAGGTGAGAAGAAAGTTTTGTAGTTTCTACGTATACTGGTTTTTTACGGAAAAATTTTTTAATATTCTATTAATATGGATTAAGTTAAATATCTATTTAAGTTACTCTCTCTCTTCATCTTTTTCTAATTCTAAGAATTAGAAAAACATGAAAAATAAGTTGAACACCGACATTAAAATTAATCTATATTGGTGGAAACGGGAACAAGAAAAATAAATATCCATTATAGACTGGAACATCAAAAAGAACGAAATCCACTGTGGCCATTAGTGGGCGATCACGGAGGTTATTGCCCACGAGGAGGCAAGAATTTCCAGAATATGAACGCCATACGTGGTCGTAAATCGAAGGGAGGCAAAGAATTTGTGGTGAAAATATTTGTCGGAGTGGAATACGAGTGTCCGCGTGGACATCGCTTTATGGCGTCAGCACCCGATAAGGTACTAAAGGCAACTGGAAACGGTATAGTGAAAGACAGTGGCAACAAGGTGACGTCCAGTACAGCTGATATGCCTCTGTACTTTCCTTGCCCTTGTAGGTTTGTAGAATTCGATCATACTCGATTTAATGACAATATTCGCATATGTAAACCCGTTTAACGCACAAGTATATATTTCTTTTTCTCTTCATTTTTTTAGGCAAATTAAACCCTTAATCGCTCAACTAATGAGAATTCATGTGGTGACACCTAAAGCGCCAGTGCATGTCACGTTGAACCCTCGGGTTCAACCTGGTCCTCCACCTTGCCCGATATTCGTTACTGGTTGTGAGGAGCCGATCAAACTTTCCCAAAGTGCATATTGGATCTTAAGATTGCCGTATCCTTTTATAATAAAACTTTGTATACATATTTATATATTTTAAATACGAATGCAATGCAAGGCTGTATAATGTTTGTTTCTATGCAGATTAATTTGAATCTTGGTTTACTCTTTTTCTAATTCTTAGAACTAATGCCCGTTTCTGTAAATGCAGTTTAACTCTAACCTTGGTTTAGCTTACTTTTTATCTTTCCTTAGTTCTAAAAATTAAATAAAGATAAAAAATAAATTTAAACAAATTAATATGACATAAGTCTATTTCATTGTAGGTTAATTTTGATTTAATTTATTCTTTATTTTTGTTTTAATTTTAAGAATTATTTTATTCTTTCTAATTCTCTTAAAATTAGAAAAAGATAAAGAGTAAATTAAAGTTAATGTATATTAATGAAAATAAATATAAATAATTTATTAAACGTTTTTATTGTAATAATATACTTTTAATGTTATTAATATTATTATAATTGTGCATATATGTATATATAAAATATACACTTAATGTAATAATATAATTATGTTGGAACATAACAGAAAAAGCAGTTCATCTTCTTTACGACTCTCTTTTTTCTTCGATAATTTTGCATAATTTTTCTTAACAAATTCCAAAGATACGTATATATGGGTGAGAAAGGACCATATTTACCACCCAAGGAACCAGTACTTCCATCGCATGGGCGCTTGTTAGCTGGTATGTACGGCATCAGCGAGGTTGTGCCGGAGAAAAAATGAAGAAGAGGCTATGACGCAATATCATCGATCATCGAAGATACCACCGAGTGAAATATGATACCATACAAGTGCGTTTCGTGTATATGTGTGTGTGTGTGTGTGTGTGTGTATATTTATGTGTGTTAAAATGAAAATAAAGTACTTAATTTGCAGTTTGTGAATTCTCGACTCCTTAGGTTTGTTTTCTGTGACTGAACTAGTATTCATTTTTAGAACTTAAAGTGAGATAGGTATATGTTTGATATTTGTAGAAAGCAGGGTTGGGTAGTAACTAATTAAAAACGTTAAAAGTTTTAAAAAGGCCGGAATCCATAGTCTGAATCTAGTCTAAGGCCGGTATTCATAGTCAATTCTTATGGGCCTTCTACAATAAACCGTAAGTCACAAATCATAAGTCATAAGCTAGAAATGGACCAATCACAGTCGTCAATTTTTAGTTTCTTACTTCCGATTTATGGCTTTTGTAGAAGGCCCATTAAGACCATCTTAAGTAATTTCTTAAGATGCTAATACAGCCCTCTAATTGGCTTATGCGGTTATGCCTTATAAACTTTAATCCGAATTTACAAAGTGTTTTAAGCCTTAAATCATAAGAAATTGAGTAATTATAGTCAAATATTCTTCTTGTATTCGAATTGAATTGATCAATTTCTTATGGTTTAAGACTTATTAAAAAATAAACCTAATAATCTATACTGTAATTATTTAATCTCATTTTAAGAAAAATTAGGACATTTTGATCTAAAAAATAATTTTTTTCGAAATTAACTTTTTTTTCAACTTGAATAAATTCAATATTAACTTAACTAACGTTAAATTAATTTTTTATTTTTTCAACTTTTAACTTAACTTTATTAATTTTGAAAAAGCCATTAACTTTAACTTTATTCAGTTAAAAAAGAAACATTAACTTATCCAACCCTGATAGAAAGCTCTAGAGAGAAAGTTCTAGTTCAGTCTAGTGCAGGAACAGGAAACGGACCACTTGTTCCCTGATTCAGAACAAGCGTGCGCACCACACGATTGGTTATTTTCAAAAGTTCGATGGAACATGGTAGAACACTTGTTGCCGCATTCGCGCTCGTAACTGCCTGACTCTGACTGCAGTCCGCTCTGGTGTTTCTCGCTTGAAAGGTGCAACGATAGTTTTTGACGATTTCATCGTAGATTCTTCAAAGACCTTTCAGTCTCCTTTCGCGGTGGAATCAAAACGAATAAAACTCAAATCTCGCGGTGGTTGCGCGACGACAAGCCGGGAGTGAGGAAAGTACGATACGACGAACGAGATCGCGTGGCTCCGTCCTTGACCGCCATTTGCACATTTTGAATAGCACTGCCGTTGGAGTACACGGACGAAATACATGAAAAAGTGTTTATCATCACGTTTGAATTTGCGAAACGGATAAACCCATTGTTGCTCGCTTGTCCCGGAAAGGAACTCGTGTCACGATTTTCTCTACGTCGGCGCGTTGTCGGTGAAACCGCACGACGAGGAAAACGGTGCAGACAGCTATCTATTTTTAGTAATGCAATTTTGTAATATCACTCTTCGACAGGAACAGATCGTGCATTATTTATTTACCTCGATTATCATCAAATCTCGTCGATAGTTTTAGGTAATTATTATGTCTTTCAGTGTTGATTAACTCTTAGTACACATGATGAATCATTCGTTAATTTTCATCATTTTAATAATAAATATAGCAGAATTATTATAAGTAATTCTTACATATATTTTAACATCTTCAGAAAATATATATGGTTGTGTGTTTTTAAAAACTATATATAAATGTTCTAATTAATTACTTGATGTGCTCCTAGTTTCTTGAAAAATAAAAGAAATATGCAGGACACGAATGATTTAATCACATATATTAAGAGCTAATGCAAGACTCGAAAGTTATCCAAGGCTTTCAAAATTTACTACCAGTACTGAAAATTATAGTGAATATAACATAAACTACAGATTTTCATTGGCAGTAAATTTTGTTCAATCTTGGTTATATTCCATCAATCAATCAACTGTTCTTGATTCTTATTTCAGATCAATAAGGTGCAAAATGGAGTATAGACTTCTCCTGATAACATTAATTTTGTTATTTAATTGTAACATTGTTAGAACATTTATGTTGGATTGGCTGTGGAAAACGAAAACAGATTCGAATGTCCTGGTTGCCGATGGTGTACCTCTGATCTCAATTCCTTATGAATCGATGACAGAAGATGAGAAATTTCTCCAAGAAGCTTCCAAGTTCACTGACATCCAGCTTTCTTCCCCATTAGAGATTTGTCAGCACAAGGTCATCATGAAGATTAAAACCTCATGCTCCGACATGTCAGAGGAGGAACTGGCAAAGCTGGGTGTCAATCTCCTTAACTGCCAATCAGCAGTTGAAGGCAGGAAGATGTTTCCCTGCACTGAAGAAATGGTACGTATTTTATAAAACACGGCGTTTTTGCAAAAAAAAAAAAAAAAACTTTCCAGGTAGCAAGCAGATATTATTGTCGATATTGATGTCAATGTCAGAAAAATGTCATAACTGTCGTGATAAAATAATGTTTAGATTGTCTAGGTTTTATTATCTCCATTACGATTTGTCAAAATTCTCTTCTACATTTTATTATCGTATAAAATTTTTATATATACATATATATATATATATGTATAATATTATAAAGGGAATTTTATATTTATTATATATTTCTATGGCTTTTAATGTGTGTTTGATGCTCTCACATGCCTAATAATTTATTAAAATTTATCGATTTATTATTTTTGTTAATGACAAGAGTGATTGACTTACACTGTCAGTACGAAAACAGGATATGTATGTGCTTATGCTGCAGAATATCAGAACCCTTCACAGTTTGAGGGGGTAACTTCCATGCCTGTTTAAACCTGCACATTTCCCCCTCCCTTTACTTTTATGGATCTCCCCAAAGCTTATGGTTTCAGTTGTCTAGTGTCGCGTATGTTGTACTGATGTTTGAATGATGTGCTGATGTTTGATTTATGCAAATTTTAATATCACATACACAATAAGCTTGATTTTAATTTAAAAAATTAGAAATATAAATAATAATTAATGAATAGTGCCAAAAAGAGCGTGCAGTTTTGAAAAAATATATGCATATGACAGAATATAATTTTGTAACTTTGTTGTGTAAGTCAGTGTAAGTATAAAGCATGATTTTTTAATCTTTTTTAGTCTCTTAAGCAATGCACAACTGACATGGATGCTGATATGTGGAATGCGTATCACTTAATAAGTAACAGAGCAAGGGCAATTTGTTATGCAGCTCGAAATACACAATTCCGTGCTCTTACAGAGTTGACTGTCAATAAGCTGATGCAGTCTGCGCATTCTCAAATCAAGACACTGAGTTCCTTGAAGGTAATTATGTTTCTTCAGTAAATTTCTTAATTTGCTCCTAACTTTAAATTAAGGCATTATATTAATTGTATTAAATAGGAAGGCCAAGATCGTCTGGAAGAACAAACAACAGAAGCTCTATTATCATTGACTGAAAAAAACAAGTTACTTTTATCACAACAAGAAAACTTGAAGGATGCTCAGGCAACAGCTCAAAATCTTGTAACAAAAAACCTAAGAAAGTTGTATAATGAAAAAGCGTTAATACAATCTGGCCATGCTCAGCTTGCTGCAATGACGGAAGAAATAAAAAACAAATTAGGTTAGTAAATCTTTTTATACGTGGTTTTTTTTATACAATTATACGATTTTTTACGATTATACGTAAAAATTCTGAATATGTTTAATATGTTCTTCAGAAAAGGCTCATAAAGATATGGAACAACAGGCTGTCGAACGTGGAGAAAATCATAAAGAAGTATTGCAGGATTTGTTTAGCATACAGGAACAAGCACAAATGATCTGGGAGAAAATCGAACATAACACTAATCATTTGTTACAACAACATGAGGAAACCATCCATCAATACGAACAAACGATGCAGATGCTTACGCAAATTAATGATACTGTCCAGTACATTTGGAATCTCACTAATACAATGAGCACCGAAGTAAATCAAAAATTGGGATGGATTACTACTTATATCGGTGATTCTGGTATGATATATAAAATATTTGTTTTATAAAAAAATAACTCAGTTCAAAACTATTTCATAATTTTGTTAAATTAATTACATTACATATAATCATATTAGGTTAGAAAGTTTTGTTTGAAAAAAAAAGAAACTAAGATAAATCAGAATATGTTAAAAATACAATATGTCCATATTTATTTTTGTATTTTTAGGTGAACAAATACAAAGAGCATATCGCACAGTTTTACATGTTTTGTATTTATTAGTGGCGATGATAGTCGCTGCATTTTTACAAGCACCTTTTTTAACCAGAGCTACTATCATGGGCATTGTACCAGCGAATCTTTTCACCTACTTGAAACATGGCATGGGGGCTTGTTTAGATTTTACATCTATAACGGTGTTAATATTCTTGATCACCGCAAGTAAGTTATTAAACTTTATGATAAGATGTCTCTGTAAAAATAAGAAAAAGAAACACGTTTATTAAGATGACATAGCCACTTCAGCACAATCGAATAAAACACAGTTTTCAAACAAAACTTACACAGAAATTTAGTGCTTTTTTTTTGCTAATTTGTTGCTCTATTCCCGATTTTGTTTCTCCAGCTAATTTCGAGAAAATCATGGCTGTGCTAGCTTAAGAATAAAGTTAGTATAGCCATTAAAAAAAAATAAAAAAAGTAATAATAAATATTCTTTTGTGCTAATTAGTTGCTAATTAGTTGCTCACTTCTCGAATTTGTTGCTCCATCCCCAACCCTCGAAAACCACCCTTAGCGACTCCGCGTCAGCACACCACCTATAAACTGTCAATTCTCGAAATATCTCGACTGATTATGGTTCTCTGATTTTGTTGCTCGCGATTTCCGACGATTACGATTCTGTTGCTCCACCCCCGAAACTTGAAAAACCACCCCTAGCCACCCAGAGTCAGCATACCACCTACAAACTGTCAATTCAAATTGTTCTAAACACCATACACTATCGAAATATATCGATATTCGCATTCGTCGCTAACTATAACACATGAAAAACAATAAGTGCATTAAGATCTTGTAAATCATGTTAAAACAATTTATTGCCCTAATGATTTTGATAACATGACGTTCCTCGTAACATATACAATCAAACTTCTTCTTCTTCTTGATTACTGGCCAGGCAGCCACTAAATATACAATCAAAATATACCCATTTTCGATTTTGTTGCTAAGTCTGACGCATGAAAAATATTCAGGGTGCGTTCCGATATGCACTGGCAGCACTGCGAATGCCGTTTTGATATACATTGCAGTAAACTTTGAGGGGCTACGTAGAATAAAAGGAAAAACAAAGAATAAGAATTTCAACCTATCAGAAATCATATACTGTGGAATAAACAGTGTATATTCCATAGCACATGATTTCTGATAGGTTGAAATTCTTATTCTCTGTTCCCTGTTCCTTTTATTCTGCGCAGCCCGACGGATCGTTATACGTATCCTGCTTAAAATTTTCTATAGAAAACTATTAAGAAAATTCTATAGTTTTTAATGAGCGTTTTGAATCGGTAAATCCCAATCCGCAATAGTTTTCTATTATTATACTCATAGAATCTTATTGATAACTGTAGAGCTTCTATAGTCGCTCTCGTGCGCTACTATAGAAACTATTAAAAACTATAAATACCTATACAAACTCTCTATATGTTCCTATAGCTTTTTATAGAAAATTTTAAGCAGGGATACGACGTCATAGATTTTGTCGTCATTTCCTGCTTACATTACTGCAGCTCACGAGGTGAGGTATTCGCAGAATAGAAACATGGCGGCGTCCTTAGAAGAGCATGTGGCATTAGACATTTCTCATGATTTCTCGTACAAAGTCATTCCCTGCTTAAAATTTTCTATAGAAAACTACTAAGAAAAATTCTATAGTTTTTATTGAGCGTTTTGAATCGGTAAATCCCCATCCGCAATAATTTTCTATGTGTAGTAATAATAATTTCTTATAAGAATTTTACTATTCTTGATTAATAGTTTCCAATATTTTTATTATATGAATTTTCCTACAGTTATCAATAGTTTTCGATGGGCGTTTCGAATCGGTAAATCCTCATCCGCAATAGTTTTCTACGCGAAGTAATATCTAATAATTTTCTATAGGGATTTTACTATTATGGATTAGTAGTAATAGGTATTACAATGGGATATTTCCTATTATATTACCAATAACGATTCAATTTCTTCTTCGCTGTCTGAACATTGGGTGCATTCAGAAGCACGACCGCTTACTGAGCGCTCAGTGAGCTTTTTTATCTGATTGGCATATTCTATTAGATCTAAAAATATAAACCAAACAGATACAAGAGCTCACTGAGCGCTCAGTGAGCAGTTGTGCTTCTGGATGCACCCATTGGCTGCGTTCAGCAGAAAAAGCAGCTATGCAACTGTTGTATTTCTTGAATATGATTGGCTTATACATTTAGATGTAATAAGGAAATAAGCAAGACCAATCATATTAAAGAATTTTACAACAGTTGAAAAGCTGCTTTCTCTACTGAACGCAGCCATTTACTATCTGAATCTATTAAAATTAAATGCTTCGCTAATTTCGACAATATAACAAGTTTGCAGCCATCGTTTCGATATCAGCATTCTATCAGCACTGGCAGTATTATGAATGCCATTTCGTTATAGCAGCTACAATTAAGCATAAAAGTAGGATTATCAATTTTGGAACGGTTTCGCAGCATTGCTTTATGACGTCATGTTGTTAGTGCTGGCAGTGCATATCGAAACGCACCCTCAGTACGGGAATAAAGTTATATGACGCGAACACCGATCCGGATAAACTAATTGTTTTTCATATCAGGGCCCATATTCTGTATACGTCTATCGACAGTTCGGTATCGTTATACTGTCATTGCGCAGCTTTTTCACTATGTGAAATACCTACACGCAATGATATCCCTATCTAGTAAAAATGTCGTTAAAAAGTTACAGAATAGGCCTACAGAATTGGTAACAAAATCAAAAATGGGTATATTTCGAGAGTATATGTTACAAGTACAGTTTGGTACTAAAAATATTGGGGTAAAAAATTCTTTAAGCAATTAGAGAGTAAAGTATCCTGCGAGGGCGCCGAGCGAGATGAACTAATTGCTTTTCTTATGTCAGAGTTAGCAACAAAATCGGATTCGTAGGGAATCGCGAGTAACAAAATCAGAGAACTGTAATCGATCGAGATATTTCGAGAATTGACAGTTTATAAGTGGTGTGCTGACTCTGGGTGCTGACTTCCGGTATAACATGGATTTGCCGCGAACCAGAAGGTAAATAAATAACTCGTAAGTCAGACGAAAACTTATTAAAAAAAAAGGAAATCGTAAAATAACTAAGGAATGCTTTTAGTAATAGGTACTCCGATGATGAAATTATCTTGTATGGGAATAACGAGAAATGATAGGAGATGTCGATCGTTCGTTTCACCCGGATATAACCGTAATCGAACGAGATATTTCGAGAATTGACAGTTTATAAGTGGTGTGCTGACTCTGGGTTGCTAATGCCCATTTTCACTAATATAGATTAACTTTAATCTCGGTTCAATTTGCTCTTCGTCTTTTTCTAATTTTAAAAATTAAAAAAAGATGAACATTAAGTTAAACCGAGATTAAAGTTAATTTACATTGATGGAAACAGGCATAAGGGTGATTTTTCAAGGTTCGGGGGGTGGAGCAACAAAATCGTAATTGTCGGAAATCGCGAGCAACAAAATCATAGAATCGTAATCAATCGAGATATTTCAAGAATTAACAGTTTGTAGGTGGTGTGCTGACTCTGGGTAGCTAGGGATGGTTTTTCAAGGTTCGAGGATGGAGCAACAAATTCGGGAAGTAAGCAACAAAAAAGCACTAAATTTCTGTGTAAGTTTTATTCGATTGTGCTGCAGTGACTGTGTCAGCTTAATAGACGTATAAAAAACGGGACAGTGGGCTCATTCAGCGGACTCAACAGTTGAGTGAGCGCTCGCTATTATTAGTGTATTCTTCCAGATCCAAAATTTTGATTGGATGATCTAAAAGAATACACCAATAACAACGAGCGCTCACTCAACTGTTGAATCCGCTGAACGCGCCCAATTGTATAATCGTGTAATGCATATGGATACGTGTATTGCATTGACATTTATTTCTTTAACGCAGTGCATTTTATAATGATCGGAATACAACGTATAATCGGACCAAACGTCCCGGAAGCAAAGACAGAGTTAATTAAGCTGATTCATCAACAAAAAGGCTATTCGAATGGAATTGTACACGATAATACATCTTTATCGAATTCTGATTCCATGCCAAAAATGCAGTTGCATACAAGATTAATAAGTACAGTGCAGAAACTTTACTATCTCAGCATTTCGCATATAAATTATTTCAGAGGTATTTCTTCTATTTAAGATTGAAATGGTGTGATGATTATTACATCATCTGATAATTTTTTCAGGAAAAATTAATGCCTTGTTAGAGGCGGTCGCTTCTTGGGGTGGACGCAATTTAAATGCCCATGAAGAGCTCTCTTGTTCGTATCAACCGTCGAGGAAGAAGCATGAGGGCGTTATTTACTTGCAACCTAAATTAGCGACAAGTTTGACAGAATGTGATTCTTCTATCGATAGCGAAATGCGGCAGTATCATTATTTCGGAGATCATAGCACAAACGATTTCAATGACACAGAGAATTTCCGGTATAACATGGATTTGCCGCGAACTAGAAGGTAAATAAATAAGTAAGTAAAGTCTGACTTGTAAGTCAGAAGAAAAATAGTTTTAAAAAAAAGAAAATTGTAAAATAACTAATGAATGCTTTCAGTAATACTCCGATGATGAAATTATCTTGTATGGGAATAACGAAAAATGGTAGGAGATGTCGAGCGTTCGTTTCACCCGGATATAACTACTGTTACCGTCATTCTACTGGCACATCTATTACGAGTGATCATCTTGATTAATCGAAAAAGGATTAATAATTGTAAAATAGTTAGTAATGTGTATCTAATAATTGTTAAAAATTGGGGTTGAATATTTATTTTTTAATGTAAAATATCATGATAATCAGTACGACTTTAATAAGAAAATAATCCGTGAAAAAAACTCGTGAGAAAAATAATTAGTTAGGAAGAATAATTAAATACGGTTATAAATTATTTGTATACATTTTGCGATTTTGTAAATAACGTTCTTTTGATAATAATACAACAGTGATCTCAAGATCACTTTAAGCTTAATATTTTCAGTATATTTAGTGTTTTAATGTTTTAGTGTTTTAATGTTAGGTAAGCGTTTTAATTAAATTAATTTATATGACTTGTATTATTTGATCGTTGGGATTCAAATATATTTCTATGTTGAAACGCATCTACAAAGTTACAAACTGTGCTATTAAAATAATAAATTGTTTTCAATAACGCAGTTCAAAGAGTACGAATTTCAAAATCAAACTCTAAATAGCTTTGACCATTCGAGTCTGAAAATATACAAAATCAAACAGTTTAAATTATTCAATTTGACTTTAGAGAGGTCTAAAATGAAATATAAACATTTACTTTTTACAAATGTTAATTTCGCACGTATTTATTTCAACGTTCGAATTATTTCAACAATTGAAGTTTTAACTATTTTCGTTTAATTAGGATTTATAATTTATTTAAAATACTTTGTCTGATCAGTTAATAGAAATATATGTTCCTCTCAACGATAAATGTACAATACATATTTAAAAAAGATACGTAATCTCTTATCTTTTCCGTAATAACGGATAATAATAATAATTATAATAGTTCCGTGTTTAATGTAAGCGATATTTATTATTTATAGTGAGGTATAATCTACTATTTTATAAGAAAGGATATATCGAAGTACAAACTTATGATATAAATAATCTTGTAACACTTATATACGAAACTCTGTAAATTAATATATAAATATAAATTTTTATTATAAATATTAAAAAGCTTATGGTTTTTCAAACTTATTCCGACTCTCGTTGGAATGTTTCAGAAATATATATAAATTTTGAAGAATTAATGTGTAATCTAAACATAATGCATATATTTTTTCATATACATACGTATATACATTATATTTTTATTATTAAGATTATTTTTTTAATATTTTCAATTTTTATGTAACTGATAGTTATTTCTCAATTTATATATTAATATTATATACATTTAAATATATATAATTATACGATATATAAGTATACTTTATATATGTATAATATATATATATATAATTTATATATATATAAATTTTGAAATATAAGTTTACATGTGTAAGTTTTGAAAAACCACAAGTAATTCATCAACAGACTGCCATATTAAATTGCGTGCACACAGCATCATTCGTCAGCTCTTGAAATTTCGCGTGTCTATCGAGACCAGCTCCCACAATCAAATTGTGTAGATTGCAATAATTTGTCCCGTAATCAAATATTGTGAACCAACCGCTTGAAACAGAAGCAGCCTACATATAGATGATATTTTCATTAGTCTAACATTCGGCAATTTAAACTTTAGGATTTTACAGATAATTATTAAAGAGGCAAAATTTAATACGTTCTTTAATATCAAATTTATCAAAGGGCGCATCATTACTCAGTGAGAAATGACTGTCAATTAGACATCGAATCAACGTTTAATCGAAATCATCGTATTGATATTGATTTGATGAATCATTTCTGAGTAAACATTAATGCGGAAGTAATGAAACACCTCATGTTGTTTGACGTACCATATATTGTAATATTATTCGTGCTTTCATTACTCAACGAGAAATGACCGTCAATTAGACATCGAAATTATCGTATCGATGTTGATTTGATGAATTCATTCTCGCTGGGTAAACATTAACGCGAATGTAATGAGATGCCTCATATTATTCAACGCACATTATAATATTATTTATGCTTTTGTTATTTATCATAAAATAATTATTATATTCAATTAAAAGTTTACCTTGGCAAAACATGTATTGTTCATCTCCTCGAATACGATTTCAATCCTTTCGAGCGATTTTGATGTCCTGTGCGTTGCTCTAATTATGTTATTCTCTACAGGTAGCTTGAGCTGTGTCGTGAGATAAAAGTTAAAGTTAATTTGCATTTAAAAATCAGATTATATTCTTACCGTATACTGACAAGTATCGTCACGCTGTCGACAAGTGTTCCAAGAAGACCAATTCGTTATCTGGCGTCGGAACTTTTGCATCACGTGCGAGCACGGATCGTCAAATCTCCTAGAGTAATTATCTTTAAAAAGTATTTAAATGACTCAGTTGGATAAAATATTTCCGTAGGAATCGTTTCATCTTTGTATATTTTTAAATTTTTAATGCGTTTTAACTTTAGGATTTTATAAACCGCGATTGTATTTATCTCAGCTCTTCCTTTTGAACGCACTCATCTTTCTTTGTAATTTAGAGATGTACCATGTTCTTTTATAAGAAGTATCGGTTCTAAAGTTCCTACTTGTATCTACTTGATTTTAATTTTAAAAGATACTCGAAACGACCGAAAGTAATAAAATAGTGAACTCCCCTGACATGACGCCGTCCGTTCCCGTGGAGTCGGAAAAGCGCGGATCGTATATTTTTCGGGCGGTGTCGTCCCAGCCAAAGTAAAATATACGAGTTCCACGTCGCGCTGGCGATATTGAGTTTCCCTGTGTATATAACGCTTGACGGGAGCGGCGTGGACGTCGCTTCAAAAGAAACTTTTCGAAAGCTTTAGTCCTCGTAAAAACGACGCGACGATCATTCGCGTTAGCTATTGCCGTAGGATGAAAGGGATCCGATCTCTCGGCGCTCAGAGAAAAAAGTAACGGCAGCTCTGTGGTGGAATGTAAATTCGTCCAAAAAGCTCTTTTGAACTTTTTCACAAAAATACCACGTTTTGCCTGTTATTTCGATAGCTAAGTTCGATGATCGGCGAATAGCTTTTGGTACGTCACTTATGCCTGTTTCCATCAATGCAGATTAACTTTAATCTCGGTTTAACTTACTGTTAATCTTTCTCTAATTTTTAGAATTAGAAAAAGATGAAAAACAAATTAAACCGAGATTAAAGTTAATCTGCATTGATGGAAATGGGCATTATTCGCGAAGAAACGACGAAATTTAGCTATACACGCAATTATATTTCTTATAATTTCGGAATTTTCGGTTTTTCGAAAATTGCGACAATCCAGTAAATATCAACTAAACGTAACACATAACATCAATATTATAATTTTACATTCAATAACACATAAATAATATAATATATGTTGTGCGTAATAGTTAAATTGGTGGATGTGAAGTTATAACATTGATGTTATATTACTTTTAGTTAGTATTTACTGTTAGTGGAAACTGTACTTTAGTAATCAAAATTCCATAAAAAAGCTTGTCCGAATTCAAAGTACAGAGGATTGGGAAAGCTACTTTTCAAATTACTTATAAGTTACCCTTTATTATTAAAAATTAAGTATAAATTTAAATACCCTAATTTGTAAAGTAACCTTCCCAACTCTGTCAAAGTATTATTTATTTTTCTGAAACGCGATACATAAAGCGTGATTACCATTTAACAATGCATGAGGCGTGTAGAGGATATGGGAACAGCGTTCCACCAATCATGATGCACAACAGAACCACCAGCATCCCGATAAGACTGTAAACACAGTATTTGCATCTTCCTTTAGACAACGCAATTGTTAAAATTACCGAAGGCTTATCATCCGCTGTACGAAACAATCAACAAGTAATTTTTGATCGTCAAATATATCATTTAAAAGATCGAAAGATTCTTGTGTATATAATAGATGCGTATAATAAACTAAGAAATCTTCAAGGAGAATATTGAAAGATATTTTATCAGAGCGAATTAGTGTTCTGAAAAATTACGGAAAAAACTTATGTTTCAAAAAGGATAAAAATTAGAATTGTTCCTTTTGACAATTACGAAAATTCGAAGTTTTGGAAGAACTTGATTCTTCGAAGTTGACTGCGAATTTTTTTAAGTTCAGGCTGATTTTGAAACTTCATTCTTCCTGCACTTCGAAGATTCAAAATAAATTTGTAATTCTTGCGAATCTCCGAAGTTGTCAAAAGAACAGCTAGCTCTAATCAACTAAGACAAAATCTATAAAGTATTTAGGAGATTAAAAAAAGAATACAATGCCGATTTTTTTTACAAAAACAGAATTTTGCATGAAACTTAAAAATATCGATTGGAAAACCACTCGGCGTGCAAATAATGGACCCGTGATGCAATTGAAGAATTATAAAGAGAGTGAAAAGAAAAACTAACCGTTTTGTCTCGACGTTTTTCGACCGTTCTGCGCTTTTACCGATTCTCTAGGATAGCGAAAATAATACGGCGACGAGCCAATCGTCACATTATCTCCATGCGTCGACATCGTTACCGTTCTCTTGAGGTTCTTCGATGACCGGACCATATTACAGATCGATCCTCTTTCGTGAGCGGAACGAAAAAGAAAAAACAAAAAACGCACGTCCTTCTCCGAAATCTGTCTCTTTGCTGAAAGCAAACGACTGTCGTCCCACGGCCATGTATTTATCATATTGCACGATTGTTTTTACAGAAAAAAATACCTAAGAGAACCTTTTATGTTATGAAATCGGTCTTCTTGCACCGCTTGTGATCCTGTCTGATAAAATCTAGGAATAGACAACCGAGAAATTAAAAAAAAATAAACTCAGAAAAAAATGTTTAAAAACTAAATAGAAGAAGTTTCCTTTGTGAAATGCTGCCGAATTATCAATACTTACACATACTTAATGGCGGCTTCCCACGAACATAGATCGGCAGACGTTTTTTTCTTAAGTATAAACCAGGATAAGCCTTTTTTACGACACCTCGATGACGCGCGATAGACCTCCCTAATGAATACTATATCCACTAAAACGCGTCCCCATAAATGTACTCAGCTCGGCTACTATGCCTTTTTTCCGCGAGTTCCCGACTTAATTTCTTTCTCTTTAGTCTCCATTCTTTCGTTCCAAATTATCATATATCAACTCTTTAATTATATATGAATAAAGATAATTTATAATATATTAATTATTATTTACGTATATTTTTCAATCTTGAAACGCGCAATTGTGAGCAGAACCAAAAGGCAATAAAATCATTTATTAAATTGACAAACAACTTAATAATTTTTTATGTCAAAAATCATTTTTATAAGAATACTAATAATTAGATGTTAATATGAGAATCTTACACATCTGTAGATAATATTAATATTTTTAGATTAATAATAATATGTATTTAAATTTTTGAAATTTCTTTTTAAAAATTAAGAATATTTTTATAATTTACTAGGATAATTATCAATTCCATTCGACTATTTTTGCAGGACATGGATGCAAATTTTTTTTTACCGCCTTGAATTGTATCGGAGTCGACGTTGATTAATTAAAACTGTTTAAAATGTCGCCGGTTTGCGTCTCGCACGGTATACCGTGGAGAAAACATCACACATACGTGGTTGTATACGAGATGAGAGAAAACGACAAGTCGGCTTGACAGCTGGCGGTGACGAGAGATCCGGTTCACACGACGTTTCGAATCTCCCTCTCTCCTCTCGTCTTTGCGAGAAGTTTCGCAAAGAAAGGCGTAGTCTTCTTAGTCTGGGTTCACACCTCGCTTTAAGAGACCCTAAGCCCTAAAAAGTTGTAAGAAATTGACCAATCACAATCGATTATTTTTCTCGCATTCAACTATGATTGGTCAATTTCTTACGGTTTTGGCGAGATTGTGAACCCAGACTTATCGTTCTTTTCGCGCTTTTGTTTATCCGTCGCACAAATGCAGAGGTTACTCTACTGAAACGCAACTTTTTTCCCCCGCATCCTTCTATGTATCACAACACACAGTTATAGGTGCATTTCTGTAATTGTGGCGTTCACGGATATGAATCAGTATTGTTGGTTTAGTAGAAATAACAGACACTGTGTCCATTCATTCCTCTTCTTTAGTGACCCACATTCGCGGAAGTATTACATATCCTCTTTTACATTCTTCCTTTTTTCCGTCGTGATCAGTTTTGCCATTAATTGTCTTTATTATTACACATTTGTCATTTACATATCACTGTGAGATTATTTAAAATTCCAAGAATTTCACATTTCCCCCCAATCGGGAGAATTAAGATTTTCGAAAATTGGTAAAATTCCAAGAATTTTCTAAGAATTTTAAAAATTATGATACTAAAAATTTGGTATTTTGATCCGTAAAAATCTAAATTTTTTAAATCGATAAAATGTTGAAATACAATTAGAAACAAATATAAAGTAGCATACATAAATTACAATTCCAAACATTTAAATGTATCATTTCTCTTTCTTTAAAAAATTATTTTCTTTCTTTCATTTGTTATTAGCAGGAATACGATAATAATAAATTACAATATCATGATAGATTAATTATTACTTATTAAATTATAAATTTCTACGTAAATTATAAAATTTTTCTTCGTCTCTTGCACAATTTTTGCGATAGATTTTTATTTTACTTTTTGCCGATTCTTTTTCTCTCGCGAATCAATCGGTACGCAAGTCAAGAAGGAAATAGACGATACGACGGTGATGACGGGCGTCCCGACGCTTTGCGTCGACGTTAGATTCCATTTACCCTTCCGCTCGCGTTGTCGTGATGCTCCTTTTCGCGGCACGTCCGTCGGTCTCGTCTACGTGCAACTTGACAGCCATAAAGACGGGCCGCTCCACCGACATCTGGCTTGACGCGTGCACTTTGTAGTCTCCTACCTATGCGTAAAAGGAGTCTCACGTCATCGTCAGCCTTTGCCTGTGTACGGGGATTGACAGGGCGAATCGTTGACATCCTTCTACCCTGCGAAAGATATACACAGTGTTCCAAAACGTCATGCCCTATAGCCTTTGCCCTTCGACCCTGAATTCGAACTCGATTCTTTTTTCTCTACATTGAAAGAATAGTTTTGTCAAAATATTTAAAAATTTAATTTAAGTTAATACAAATCTAAAAATAAATTTTGATTGTTAAAATGATTATACAATAAAACATTCAAACTGATTGCTAGAATGTTAAAATTTTTTACAGTATTGTATTACCATTGTTATCATAAGCTTTAATCTTTATAATTATTTTGACAGTCCAGCAAAATTATAATTAAAATTTTCAGATCTGTATCTATCTAAATAGACTGTTCTATAAAGATTAAAATGTTTGGAAAAAATTAAGCTAACTTACAATGTTTTTTTTAATCCTTTTGTTAAAAATTAATCAATTATAATATATTTATATAATTTAATTGATTTAAAAAATGTAATTAATTGAAAAAATAAATAGAAAAATGAAATAAAGGAAAGCTCAAATATTTTGTAAATGAATCTCTGACTTTAAAAGCCAATATAATTTTAGAAAAAATTCTATATCGATATAAATTTTTATATCGATATCATCCAATTCGCCTATTTTTTACAGGATTGAAGAACCGTATGGTCGTCTTCGAGGGTCGGCGAGGGCGGTTCTTTTGAAGTTTCCGATAAAATGGAATCAGACGCGTAGCGGAAGAAACGAAAGAAGGGATTCCTGCACACGGGACTTTCCCTAGAAATTTATAATTCGAACCGCCTGTCGGCAGCTAATTTCCTGTTTGGGAAGGCGTGTCTACAGCCATAATACTTTCTCGCGGTTAACCTGAAAGGTTGAAGATCTCCGATGATTCGGTCGAGAAAAACAAAGAAAACACGAGAGGAAAAAGTAGAGAAAGAGAGAGACAGAAAAGGAAAGCTGCATAGACTCGAGATTTTTCTCTCTCTTCTCTTCGCACTTTTTTCGAAAGTGATGGCCGCAGCACTTCGTCGGTCACACAAAGCAGCTGCAAGTTACTCTCTAAGCTATACGAAGAAATGATAATGAAATGACGAATGTCGTCGCAGCCGCTAAGAAGAGCGGTACTTGGCGCAGTCCCTTCATTTATTGCTTTCGAAGAGAGTTGCATCTGCATATTCCATCCTTTCTCTTTTTATGCAATGATTAATGCATTGGCAATTTTAATAAAAAAAATACTTTAGGTTGATAATTAAGCACACATCAATGCATAATTTTTTACTTTTTTATTATACTATATTTTTTAATCCTTATAGAAATCTAATACTGACCAATAATGAGAGAGGGAATAATTATAATTACTTATTTCCTGTTTTAAGAGCACAACTATTGTTCAATATTTTTAATATCGAATAACTAATTAGAGTCCAAATAAGAGAGTAATTATATTTATACTTTCGGTAATAAAATTGACTAATAAAATAATTGATCAATATTATGTTTCTGTAAGAGAAGTTCTGCTAAAAATGTAAAAGTAAATCAAAATAATTTTATTTTGACACACATTATAAAATGTTGATTTTTGTTTACAAAATTTATTAACGTTTTAGTTTTTTGTTGACCTTTGTACGTTCTTTAGATTGTTACTCAAAGAATAGAATTTTTGAGGCGTCACATAACGAAATTCGCACAATAATATCAAAATTGTATACTGTTTAAAATTCAATATAGATATTCAGGTATTCTTGCATAGAAAGATTAAAATGACTTATAGAAGAAAGACGTAAATAAACATCTTCATGTATGGTACAATTTTGATATTTACAACTTAATTAAGTTGTAATCTCTCAATTAAGCAAAAGTGATACTCACTGATTGCATAGGTTTGGTAGAATCGAATGGGTCAATTTCTTCAACTATACCGTGATACATGAACACATAATGCAGAAATAAACGTTCTCCACGTGGAGAAAGTCGCTCTCTTTCTTCATTAACACATACTTTATCGGCGACGCTTAATGAATTGGGCGTTCATATATCAGCTCGCAACAACTCGCGCAGTGTTTTTTCAAGAGGCTCGATTTATCTGCTTCGAAGTGCAACAGAAATGAGGAGGGCAGGAAAGAGAGAGACAAAACCGTTCCACGAGGGAACCATTTTCGGTATCCAAATAAGAAGGTGTCATCCATGATATTAGATGGCTCCCTTAAGCCTTTCGGCGGGCCAATCGCAAGTCAACACTGGTAATAATTCTTTTTTTTTTTTATCTATACATGTTTTCCTCCTCTCTCGAAAAATGAGGGATGATTTTTTTTACTGTACTTAAAATCCGCAATGTAGAGGGCTTTTAACGATCCCACGACGGTCGTTCGACCCTTTTCTCGCACATCCTGGCCATAAAGCTCATCCCTTGTGAAAGTGAGATCCTTATCTTCTTCTTTATCCCTGTTGTTCCTTGTCTCTCTTCAACGGAAACGATGAATATACGCAGTCGCACGGGGGCGGCGCAGCGGTTCGGTTGTCCAAACGAGCTGAGGAACCGCCGCCGTGCCGCCGTCGTCATCGTTGCGGTTCTCGTACCGTATTTCCGGTAGAAGACTGAGGCGTACAATTTTTCAGAATATTCCAACGTGTCGTAAATTATCCGTCGTAAATTGTCCTGCACGAAGGGGACGAAGATTGATTTATCCCGCGGTTGCGCGAAACGCAACTCAATCCAGTCGCAAAAGTTTCCTGAACTCCAGGATTTTGTTTTAAATTTTTCAGGCGTCTCTTATAGATATTATATTAAGTATTTTAAGAATTATTTTTTTACACATCACACATAATCATCTTTATATCTTTACAATTAAAAAAAAAAAAATTTAACGGAGAACACATTTAATCGATATTCTTTGACGTTGATTTTGAAATATTTCTCAAACTTACCCTTCGTCGGCAATCTTTTTTGGCACAAGCGAAAGTTCGCTCTCTTTCTATAAATTAAAGGTAAAAATTTTGGTAACAGAGATGTTGAAAAGTATCCCTAAATTTTACAATGTTTTTTGGAGGACTTAAATAGTAAAAAAAATTTACAAAAATATGCAAATGGAAGATTAAGACATTGAAGTACTAGACTTATATATAATTGTGTATAAATTTGTAATATGTATAAATCTGGTATTTTAACGTCATAATCTTCTGTCTATAATCATATTTTTACAAAAATTATAAATTTATATATAAATTTGTACATGCCTATGTAATTATGTATACAGTATATTTATTGTATTCTTATTTATTGTGTATATATATGCGTTCTTTTAATTACTGTATACATTCTTTTTATTTGCAAGTTGCAACTATATTTGTTTTACGCGGCAAACGCGCGTGGATTCCGAACGGAACTTATATTCGGCAAATGGTTCTGGTCCGTCGACCGCGCCAATTTCTCGCGGTTCTCGCTCGTGTCCTTTTTGTTCTCCCCAACGAAAACGTGTGTAAGCTTTCCTTGGCACCGCCGAGCGCATCGGCGCTGTCGACGGGACTCGTCGAGCGCGCCTATTAGTGGCTTTCGCGGTATCGTAAAGTAAATCCTATGGAAAAAAGAAGTCGCGGGTGTTCTTTACGATCTCATCGGTTTCGTGGGCGCCAATGCGGCTCGCGGATAGCCATGGAATTTACAACTTCCATGTTCCGATCTATTTTACAACGATGACTTTATCAGCGATGAGTCTATTCGCCGATCAATGAGGATCATTTAAAAGATACAATTATTTATCGTCGAGATTGCAAAGGTAGGTAAAATCTGTAAATCTTCAGGATATCGATTTTTGAATCTTAAAAAGTCCCTTCTTGTTTCTTTTAATAAGCTCTGTCAACTTTTAAAGTCGGTAAAAAGGACGAGGCTGTTTTGTCAATTCCTATACAACACACAGGCCTTTAAAAAACATATCTTAAAGATATGTCCCGAGCACATTTCTAGCATATCCTTCGAGTAAAGTACACTATGTACGTTCCAACTTTAAACTGCTATGAATTTACTGTAGCAAGCAATAATCTCTTTGCAGTGACGTGCTTACAATTACATTACATAAACATGATTGCTTTTTATAGAGAGAGAGAGAGAGAGAGAGAGAAAGCATGACTCAGTATGACCTTTTTAACTGCTCAATATATGCAGCTGAAAAACATAAAAATTATTGACGAAGAAGTTCCACTTTATTCTATCTCTACTGAGAAAAATGTTTTTGGATAAATTAATTAAAATAAAAAATATAATGGATGTGTTAAAAATGGATGAATCAGAATTTTCTGGTTAAATAATTTTAAGTGTGATAATCGGAATTAAATAATCAGAATCTTCTAGTTTAATTTAAATCAGACACTTTTATTAGTGTCTGATACTGATAGTGACTGAACGCTCTTAATTAAAATAATTCTTCTACTTAAACTGAAATGACAGGAGCACGGAACTATTAAAGTGCACGGTTGCTTTTGAGGAATTTTCATTCATGGATTGTTCATTGGTCGTCGCTGCCGCTGACTGAACGGACACAATGGTGGTTGCGCGACACTTTTTTTTGGCAAGAAACGTAATATTCCGAGGTGGCTGCAGGGAGATTCGCTCGATTATACGAGCTTTCTGTTTTTCGCACCGGCGCCAACAGGGCGAGGGTGATTCTCTTTTCGAACGAATACGGCTAAAAAATTCACTGTGCGCCAAATTTCGAAACCGAAAAGAGCGGCCACAGACCCGACGGTCTTTCATTACGGCACATTTATAGGGCTGCTGTAACGAAGTCACAAGGGATATAAGAAGATGGAATTCGACGCATTTTTTTCTACGCGAAAACTCAACTTAAAATTATTTCTACTATCAAGATAAATAAATATTGAATTTATTAAAAGAAGTATATGTAAAAAAAATTAAATAAAAATAATTCTTTTACTTTTTATTTTGTTTTAAGAATTATGTAGATATATATGTATATAATTTCAAAAAATAAAATATATTATCTATTAGTTTATATATATATATATATATATTA